TTTGACCAAATTTAAGCTATTTTTAAAATTTAAGCTATATTTTCCAGCTATTGTCTGGAACCGGTGCTAACCACATCGCGAACGTGGGATTAGCCATCCAGTTACCATTAAAATTCCCCATTGTGCAAGCTCCCACTAGCTTAACCAGCTAATGTGCTCATCTAAAAATAGCCCCCTTTCACAACCAGCTGAATGTGTATGGTTCCGCTTACGCCAACATCACACACAAAAAATCCTGAACACTAACTAGAAATTCACGAATTTTTTATAGAAATAAAAGAATCTTGTTTAGTGGGCCTTTGGTAATTTAAGACCTTTGGAAACTGTATTTAAGGATTATTTGTCATTTTTTAAGGATTTGTAAGGCCTTAAATTTTGAAAAGCAAATTTAAAACTTTTTAAGACTTTTTAAGGACCTGCAGATACCCTGTAGTAAACCGCTTTAACCGTCAAAGATTTTGACACATCGTCAAAACCTTTTTGCACCTACAAAGCTGATGAGCGAACAGTTCCTGCAGAAACAAAGCTGATATTGTTAGACTCTTTAAGAGTCCGTCAGACGCACGGTTCCATCCAGCTGTTGTGACCTGAGACATCTCTGGACTGAAGAGTCGGTACCACGGTATTCTACAGCCCTCCGGTGCCAGAGATCAGCCGACCCCTGTGACTTTCGGATCCACCAAGAGGGTCTCTATGAAACGGGTAAAGTAGACATGACAGATTGCGTCTGATGTACTTCTGATGATAACAACTTTATAGCTTAGAGCAAACCAAATTCTTTTCACCAGAACTCAGCTTACTTTGACAAGGAAGCTCTGACTGACATCGCATTCACACACTTCATCATGTTTAGTTACATCCACTCACAGTAAATGCTTAGTTAATTAGTCATGTTTTAATTGTAAAGTAAATTCTTACTTTTATAAACCTGACTCTTTCTTCAAATAACACAAAGTGTGGTTGATCACTGAAAAAGCAAAGAACCTAGCTCTTCTGAATTAAAACCTATAATCTTGTGAATTAAATCCTAGAATCTTCTGATAATTACAATAAAGACCTAGCAGGTTAATATTTTACATTTATATAGAATATTACATCTTCCTGGTCATAACAAATAAAATCATCAATTTGCCTACGCTACAAGGGTTTTACCTTCCTTTGGTCAATTGCCGATCAGATAAGATGGCAGCAGTTTGAGTGAACTCTGGCATGTCTGTTGCTGCTGCTCTCCAGCAAACTGTTTAACTTCTTAAAATCTATATTACCATTTTCTGCGGTCTGTGCAACACTGGATACTGTTTTTGACCAGTGTTTGTAAGGATTTTATATTGACAGTTGTAACATACCCAAAGGCCAAATATTTACATCCAAAATGAGGTTAAAGACCTATTTGTATGATCTGGCTTTTAACTCTATGAGTTAGCTGTTGCTGTTACGTCTACATGTGTTTTATGCTGTTAGGTTTCTTTTTGTTTGCTTGTTTTTTTACTGGTTTTATATCTTTTTATTTTTATTGTACAGCACTATGGTGGCATGTTTCATGCCTGTAAAGTGCTTTATAAATAAAGGTGATTGATTGATGGATTGATTGATGATTGATTGAAAAATTACCAGAAATTAACTTTTAATTTCCAGACACAAACTGTGTCATACATCCAGTGACGCATTACATCTGTCTGGCCTCCAAACAAGTAAAGCAAGGATCTACGACCTTGCAACCAAATAAGGGAGCCACAATAAGTGCTTTTCCTGAATTCCCTTATCTTTGTGGGAAGACAAGGCCAATGCAGAAGACAAGAATTTCTGCACTTTCACTCTGAATAAAGTTCATCTTCCTTGAATCATAAATGACTTAACTTTATACGTTGATATAATCAAATGTGTTGAATGAACAAGATGTTTTAATCTAAAGTGTTCTAATTATGTGGGCATTAATCAATGATGCATTAAAATGAATATTTTTCCCGCAATGATTCATTTCAGATCCTAAACTACACCAGATCAGTGTTTGTTGATTTAACAATTTAATCTCAGTATAGGGCTGCACAGTGGTGCATTGCCTTGCAGCAAGAAGGTCCTGGGTTCACTTCCCAGCCCGGGGTCTTTCTGCATGGAGTTTGCATGTTCTCCCTGTGCATGCGTGGGTTCTCTCCGGGTAGTCCGGCTTCCTCCCACAGAGCAAAAAAAAACAAAAAAAAAAAAAAAAAAAACATGACTGTTAGGTTGATTGGTCTGTCTAAATGTCCATAGGTGTGAGTGTGCGTGTGTGTGCATAATTTTTTGTCCTGTGTGTCCCTGTGTTGCCCTGCGATGGACTGGCTCTCTGTCCAGGGTGTACCCCGTCTGATTGCCCATTAACCACTGGAGATAGGCACCCTACGTGGACAAAGTGGGTTCAGACAATGGATGGATGGATGATGAATCTCAGTATATTCACACCTTGTAGTAATTGTTGAATTAATGTTTTAACATTCACTTCACACTAAGAGTTACCCTCTCTGAGTAAAGGCGTGACTTTCTGAGGACTTTGTTGATGCCCTGTAAAACGTGTCAAATTCTGATTTGTCTAGAATTTGTAAACAATATTTAATATATACAGGAATCACTTCTTCAGCTGCCTTCTGGTTCGGCCGACCGGTGAGCAAGTATTTGGAACCATCCTCTCTTTTGACCCCAAGGCCAAAGGTCAAGGTCTCTGCAATGCTTGCGAGTGATTTCAGACACAACAGTTCTTTAAAGAGCCACCCAACACCTCGGACAAACATTCTAACCTGCAGACCCTGGTTGCACCTCATGGTTGGACTAGAAATCTGAATTCAAAAGTGAAAAGTGTGTTCCCTGAATAGTCAAAGACACTAAAGACTTCTGATTAAACATTCAATGACCATTCAGATTGATTATTCATATTTATATGGAATATCAAGTCGTATTGATCATTTAATATGTAGCCAATCCTTACCGCAACATTTTATGGCGAGCCTATCCAGCCTTTTCAAGTCATAACATTTCATGTTAGTTCATACTTTCTACAGTTAAAAGCTCTTTTGCTGGGTTTTGTTGATGCAAGGAGAGGCCTCTCTCCCTCTTCTTATAGCATAGCGCTGACTGATCTAACAACCAAGTCTGTAACAACTCAAAGCTTTTGCTTGCAAGATTGTTTTAACTTTGAAAGGGGAGTGGATGTGTTTATGTTATTTGTTTATTTGTGTTTTTGTTTGGTGTAACTGGTCATAGAGAAAATGTCATGATTCATGGCAAATGTTTGACCAGAATAGGTCAATAAAAATTTATTAAGAACTGGGTGATATGGAAGGCAGGGAACTGGAGCGAATCGGCGAAGATGGCTGGAAGACGGATTTCAGGTACAGGAACCCGGAAACTATAAAACAGGAGTGAAGATGAATTGGGTAGGAGATAAGATAATCTAATAGCAAGTAGGAGTAAATGCTTACAGAAGGTAAGGAGTAATTGGACTTCAGGGAGGGAAGTAGAGCTGGAGTGGTGGGTCCAGAGGTGGGCAACTGTAGAATAGATGGTACACTGTAGGGAACTTTTAAATGGAATCTGGGTGGAAGAATGAGGTGTAGCTTATGGCACAATGCTGGAGGGTGGACAGGAGTCACACAGCAGTTGAGGATGATGATGGTAGTGATGGAGGTAAACAGGAGCTCGGGAGGATTTCAGGAGATGGGCAAGGCCAGTAATGAAGATTAGGAAGGTGGGTATATAGTGGATGGTTTTGACAGAGGAATCCAAGTGTGAAGCTGGACTGTGGAGTTAGAAGTACGGATGAGCTGGATCCACGGTGTTTATAAAAACCACTTATGGAGGGAACAGGAGGAGAAACCACTGAGGAATGAGGATAAACAGACCTTAAAAAACTTGGACGGAGAAACCGCAACGCGGCCTGGCGGGAATGCAGAAGTGGTGCTCAAGTTGCCAAATAAAGGACAAGAAGCTAGAAGATCACGCCGATGTTTACTAGATAAACCACAATTTAAGAGAAGTCTTATTCTCACCTGGATTCCTGCTCGTTTACCTCTTTTCCTCCGACATTTTCCCGGGACCGGATAAACATAGCTAGAAGCGCCAAGATCGTTTGGCTCCGGGCCAGTGTGCCACTCAGGTAAACAAACAGGAAGGTATGTCCTCGGTCCATCTCGGGCGATTGTAAATGAATGGAAGGACAAAAGAGTCTGGCGATCATAGGAGATGGTAGCAGGGACACCACTGAAGAGGATCGCAGACAGGAGCAAGGTGGAAAAGAGGAGGTTAGTGGAGAAAAGTTTGAAAAGGTGGCCGGTGTCCGCGGCTAAGCCAAGCACAGACGCCATCTTGTTACCGACCGGAAGCGGAAGTGAACAAGCATCGACCTGGTGCGCTTTGTAAAAGAAAATAATCAAGCTGAGTTATTTAATAAATTAGAATGTATAATAAAGTATCTAAATGCTCACACGCTAATGCTCACATTAGTCATTGAAAGAAATAAGAGCAAGCTATGGAAAATTTCAGACTTGCGATAATTTCACCGTGTTCAGGACCTGGTGGGTGTAGAACGGATGATACAAACACTGCTAATCGTGACAGACGTGGTAAATGTGAAATCAAAAGCAAATGCAATGCACATTTGATATGAATAGTCCAGCCAACGTAATAAAAAAGCATTACTAAAAGTTTAAAATCAGAATGAATGTACTGTTTTTAAGAAGCAAAGAGCAAGTTGCCACATGAGGGTGCAGTGAGATGAAACGAAAACAAGTTCACCCGAGAGCCTGTTTAAGCGGAGTTGTTTAGATCATTTTGGTATTTCGGCCAAAAAATAAAAATGCACTTTTGGGTCATTTTCAACCGAAAAATTTCGGTGGCCGAATTTTTGTGCATCCCTAATTCTCACTCCTTTTTCCTGCCCTTGGAGCTGGAGAAGACCTTCATTTTAAACCAGTCACACTTTAATACATTCAATATTTGTCCCATGAGTTTAAAACAGCAGCTGGTTTTACCCGAGCTATATCAGCATAGGCAAGTCCCAGGATTCCTTCCCAGTTGGACCCATTGATGAAAAAGCGGTCTGACTGGGTGATGGCAGCAACGTTGGTACGTAGCGTGGCATTGGGGCCATGTGGCACTGAGACAAGGTCGGTGCCCAGCTCTCCTTCCCATCGTCCCTGAGTGTAGGGCACATAGACACTCCTGCCCAGGTCGTGGTATGAGGTGGAACTGTGAGGGAACAGCAGAAACAGCTTAGTATGACACTGTTTACCAAACACGTTTGTAGATTTATGTCTTTACTCACAGCGAGCGATGGTAGTATCTCCGCAGGAACGGGTGAGCCGCTGCACCAACAGCAAAGTTACTACTTCCTGTGTCCACCAGGATGTTTAACTAAAGGTGGACACAAAAACAATATGATAAATAGCCTGCATTTGTATAGTGCCTCCTTAAGGCTTTACAAGGCGCTTAACAACACAATCATTCACCCATTCACACGCTGGTGGGGATGAGCTACGAGGTAGCCACAGCTGCCCTGGAGTGCACTGACAGAAGCAAGGCATCCCGAACAAAGGCGCTACCGATCCCTCCTACCACCACCAGCAGGCAAGGCGGATTAAGTGTCTAACCCAAGGACACAACAGCTGCATTCTCTGGTCAGAGTCGGGATTGAACCTGCAACCTTCCGATTACTGGACAATCCGCTCTTCTGAGCTACTGCAATATTACTTCTGTAGCCACTATCATTATGTGTGCTCCTGATACTTTTTATTCTGTAAGATTATGGCTGGACCATTCAGTTTGGGCCTCTCAAGCCTTCTCCAAAGTTATTTACTTGTTGTAGTTCCCTTTGATGCTTCCTCTGAACTGAATGACATTTTCTGTCTCCACCCTCAACTCTTCTCTCAGGTTGCCCGTTCTACAACCCCACCCCCACTCTCTCATGTGTGACATTCAGGCAGTGCTGTACAGTGTGACATATATGTCACACGTGCGACGAAAAAACTCTTTGTGCGATAAACTATTTTTAAACGTAGCACTCGTGCAACATCTTTTCAAGTTACTTTTTCCCTCAGATCTTTATTGAACCAAGGTAAATTGCTTGTTTTTTTTAAGGAAGACGTTTTTTTACTGATGCACAATGCGCTAATAGGTGCTATGGAGGAAAGCAGAGAAACCAGCAAAGGCACAAAGGCAGAGACTAGGGCTGAACGATTTTGGAAAATAATCTAATAGCGATTTTTTTCTTCAATACTGCAATTGTGATTTAATTCACGATTACTTTCTCAAAGAGTTTTTCTCATATTTTTAACGAATGTAAAAAAAACTATGTAACTTGTACTGAATATAAACAAGTTTATATATCTACATATTTATCAACATATCATATCAACAACTTTATTTGTTTGCATATACATAAATACTCTCAACAACATTTTTTATTTTTAGGTGCAATCCTTTGCAGCCAAGAGCACGTCCCTTGAAGGAGCATAGGTATTAGCATCAACTGTGAAAATTTATTAGCAGGAAAGAAGTGTGTCCCATTCATAGAAGTCTTTTGGGTTTAGAGTTTTGATGTCTTGTCCATGAAGAGCTTCCGTAGTTCAGTTATGTTCATAGCGACTAGCCAAAACTCTGTGGCGTTTAAAGTATTTTACAGCTTTCTAGCTTTAATAAAATGCCTGTCTGTGGCAGGAGGTGGGTTCACTGGGGGTGACTGGGGCTGGGGGGGGGGGGGGGGCTGCCCCACTCTAGAGGTGCTTGGGTTGCCTCGGGGGATGGACTGCTGGCGTATGTGCGTGAGGCCCCTTGGGGGAACTTGGCGGTGGCCATGGGTTGCTGCCTGGCTGCTTCACCGCCCCCGAGGGGTGTGGGTGCGGCTGGCCCCGTGTGGGGATCTGGGAGGGGCCTTGGGTATTGGGTCCTGACTTGTATGCTGCCAGGAAGAAGTCGAGAACAAGCAGCCATGCCTGGCCCAGGCTCAGGGGCATCAGGTGGACATTGGCTCCTCTGAAATAATAACAATTCTGTCCCATCAAGGGCGAGGGGGGTGACCAGGAAGGGGAGGACCCAACCTTACCTGGATGTTTTAGGTCTTACATATTTTGGAAGTTGTGCAAAAGCAGGGATGGGAGTAGATGTTCTGCTGGGGTGGGGCTGGGTTGATGCCCTTGGACTCCATGGGGCTCTTCAATGCTGCTGCTTTGGGCCCTGGAGAGATGGGCTGGGGTCTTCATGCCCTGGGTGGCATTTTGGGAACAGAGGTGCCTATTGGGGCCAGTGGGGGAGCTGGCTCCCTGGAGGGCTTAGGCCAAACAGCCGCTCCTACCCATCCCCATATATTTTTCTCCTCCTGCTCCCTCACATTATCACACAAACAAGCAGATAGGACCTTGGGGAGTAAGCAATTCAGGGGGTGCGGGTATGGATCCTATATCTGCATTCCTGTGGCAGCCTGCCCCCAATTTCATTTGCACAATAAACACTTCCACCAACAACAGTCCATGCAAACACACACTTAGGGCCTTGGGAGTGAGCACACTCAATGGCATTTGGCATGGGGATCTTTCATCCTCATCCTAAGAGCCAGTGCCCACTTCCAATTTTAAGCTGCACTTAGACACAGAGGGCTGTGGGGGGAACTGGGGCTGTGTGGTGGCATCAGCTGGTGTAGGCCAGATGATGCCTGCACTGCCCGCTCACCACAGCCATGGAGTACACCTCATCAACATGCACTAACACTGTATTGGAGCAGACAGAGGGAGACTAGGGGCCTTAGCACACCTCTGTTGTTGCTTGGCTTCCCAGGGCTGGAGGCAAGGAGGGGGAGCTGGCCATCTGGTTGGGGTCTGGGGTGGTGGGTTGCTTTGCCCGCCACTGGGTGGGGGAGCCTGCTCATCATCACCCCAGCAGAAAGGGGCTAACTCTGGGAACTGGTGATGGTTGTACCATTTGTGCAGCAGTACCAGGACCAGAGTGAATAGGGTGTGTAAGGGGAGCATAAGTGGGTGTCTAGTGTTAATTTTTGTAAGTCTTAAGTTGTATGTGTATGTGTGAGCATGAGGGAGGGAGTGTGTGACTGTGTCTGTGTATGACTGTATATGTCAGGTGGGGCCTTTGGCTCCTCCCCTCTCCTGGGACTTCTTTTGATGCTATACATCTTTGCCTTCCCTCCCCTGCCACACTTGGTGTGGAGTGGAGTGCCTTGGTCTGCCTGAGTGTTCGCGGCTCCTGGCTCAGGGGGTTTAAGATTTTTGGCATCTGCCAGATCAATCCCAGTGGCGGCCTGGTGGGATCTGACTCCCTGGGCTCTGCTGGGTCCCCGGCGGGGATGGTTGCCCCTGGGTCCCGGGTCGCTGGGTTCTGGGCTCGGCCAGCTAGGGGGTGGGAGGCTGCGGGCTTACCGCTGATATCTCCCAGGACTCTGCCGGCTGCTGGTTGTGGCCCCCCGGGGCAATCCTCTGCGCCTCTCGAGGGGAGCAGGGGCTTTTCTGGTCACAATCTCCCTGGAGTTCCTGTGCTCTAGGGCAACTCCTGGATCTCTGGGACTTGGGAGCTCTCTCCGTCTCCTGCACATCTTTGGGGGGCAGATCTGTGGCCCCTCACACTCTCTATTGGACGCTCCTATAGAGAAACCTTACATATACAAGCGCGTGTACACACACAGGTGCTCACATGGTGCTCTCATAAGTATGGACTTGGGCACGTTCAACACATGTCTTAAGGCTGTGGCTGGCACTTAATGCACTGTGATTTATTATCGTGTGATTGTTCAGTTAAACAATGTTGATTTAATATTTCCTCATCAAGTTGATGCAGTGATAGCTTGCTCTTGTTGTATTGTTTTGCGTCCCTTTTCTGCGGGTCTAGAAGAAGATCCCTGTTCATCATTGATCATTTATTTTTGTGGAACCCCCCTTCCTTTCTCTTTCACCTGTCTCCATGTCTGGTCGGAATTACAAAGCATTCAAAAAAACAACAACAATAAAGTTTTAAGTATCAGGTGTGACATTAAAGCAGAAGCTTTGATGCTCCACCTGAGAATAAATCTGCAAGGCTTGTCACCAGCATTCAGACATTAATTCTGTTTGCTTCAAAGCCAGACAGGACACGGGAAAAGATGCCATACAACAAAAGGTGTAAATCAAATTATTGTTGAAGATACATGACTGCTGCAGATACATCTGTAAAATGTTTCGGTGTTATTGATGAGAAAGTAAATCAGTAAAATGATTAGTCAATCAGTATCATAACAGTGAGCCATCTTGTTTCTACACAATGTCCTGACTTTATGCTTTAGTCTTGTGGATCCTGATCTGTCACACTATAATGTGATGAGTACATTCTCCACTACTATTTTACCTCTTCAGAAATACTTGCTTGGAATAGTTAGATGGGATCCCTGTGCATCTTCTGTTCTTTTATGCCAGAGCATAATTATATTGACAATCAAGCAAACATTCTTCAAATGTGTCATTTATAGGATTTTATTTACTAATTCAATTCAATTCAACTTTATTTATATAGCGCCAAATCACGACAAGAGTCATCTCAAGGCACTTCACATAATAAACATTCCATTTCAGGTGAGTTCATTAAGCCAATCAGAAAAAATGTTTTCTATATAAGGAACCCAGCAAATTGCATCAAGTCACTGACATTAGTCAGTGACTTGATGCCATATGGGTGACCCTACCAGAGGCAGAAAGCCTCAGACAACTTAGCTCCTAGGATCATTGAGACACTCAAACCCCTCCACCACGGTAAGGTGGCAGCCCAGCGTGACACACTCCTTCCGTTTTTTTAAGATGGCGACTTCGTTTCTGTTTATAAATGTGCTTCTGTAGCCGACAAACAGAGCTAAAACACATTGTTTTATGAGCATTATTCTCATGTGATGTTTTGTTCTCATATATTTATATTTTAGAGACTTGCTTGTCCGTGAAAAGTTCATCAACTCTGCATCAGCCGAGGTATTCCTTAAATTTGAAGCAAGTAAGTGGTAGTCTAACACTATTGGTTAGTTCTGGTCGGCAGTCAGTTTCCTATTGCTCGGGGCTCTGCGGGGCAGGGGGCGTGCATAGCAAAAAAAAAAAAAAGACATATTGCTTACATTATATCACAGTACATGATAAGATAATCACTTTTATGGATTTCTGACAAGTCATACATAATTTCTGAAAGGGATGAACTCCGAAAAGATACTTTAAGAACATATTTTGTTTGCGGATGACATCAGCCTCTATTGTTCTGGGCAAGATATTGAACAGTTAACTCATACAGTTAAAAAAGAACTGGAATTATTAAAACAATGGTTTAACTATAATAAATTATTAATGAATGTGAATAAAACAAAATATATCCTCCTTGGAAACAGGGGAACTGATAATATC